ATAGTAACCGTGTCGTGCTGATTCCTATGTCTGCACTATATCCATATATCTATCTGAGTGAATATTGAAGCAGCACATTCTTTATAAAGTATAATACATTATGAAAAATCATGAAGTGTTTAACTATGAATAAAATGTTCATTATTTCGGACAGCTGCCTGAAAAGCATGCATCATTTGATAGTCTCATATTTTTTTAAAGTTTGTACTTAATAATGTATTACACTGACACCGAGTGCTCCTGTTAATGCAATCTTGTGTTTGATAAAAATTTCAGTAAAAAAACTGTCAGCGTGTTTTAGCATAGCCCGATGGTTATACACAATATTGATTTTTTAGTGTAGTGATTTCGATTCTCACTGGGTGATCAAACTGTGCTAATATTAAAATGATATGAATAAAGACAACTTTTAGTTAATTATTTAACAGAAAAGAAAGTTCTTAACTGTCCCTTGTTTGAGCGCAAATAACATTCAATGGAAGTTTATAGATTCTACTGTTGGATATTAGTTAAATTCGTTTGGCTAATCATTACTACTGCATAATAGAGTTCGATCCTGTTTGTGTACTCCACAACTTGTGTCGAACTTGGATAATCTAAAAGATTGCCAGGGGATAACTATTCAGTGTCAACCGGAACAAATGATAATTATTAGTCTGAGTCGTAAGTAATTTCCGATTTCGGAATCAATTGTAATGTATCAAGAATTCTAACTGAACTTTCCAAAAATATATCATAACAGGTGATGAAAATGGATTACATACGACAAAGTTGAATTATTAGCCTGAGTCATAAGTAATTTCAGACTTTGGGAATCAACTATAATGACGAATATAGAATCCTAACAGAATTTTCTTTAAATATATCATAACAAGTAATGAAAAATGGATTACATCCGATAGAGTTAAACACAAAACGCAGTGGACTGAAAATGCTAACTCTCCACAACCGACTGCAAAGGTTAACGTTGTGCGTATGGTTTGATCTTTGGGGGTGTTATTCATTTAAATTTCTTAAGACGCTATGAAACAATAAATGCCCATTTATATATCCAGCTGCGACAACGTGTCCATAAATGATCGGGTGAAAAGCTCACTGCACTCGTCAATAGGAAAATGTTTTCCTCCATAACAGCGCAAAGCCGCATACAGCAAGAATAACGCAAGAAAAAATATTGGAACTTTGGTTGGTTTGTCCAACTGAAACTGCCGTATTCACCTGGCCTTGCACCAACCAATTAATACCATTTTTTCAATCGCTGCAAAACGCTTTGTTGGGAAACCTTTTTCTAAGGAAAATCAGATTCAAGAGTTTGTCGAAAACTTTTTCACATCAAAACGGAATTTTACTCAAAGGATCTCGAACAGCTGCTGGATAAGTGGCAACAAGTCATTCCACATAATGGTGGATGTATAATTGAATAAAATATAATTGTACTTTATATTTTGAAGAATAAATTTGACAAACAAAAACGGGAATTATTTGACTCAACACTGTTGTACGTTCGATTCTCTCTTGTTGTCCCAAACCTTTAACACTGTGCCAACCTAAGCTTAGTAAATTATTGTATGCGCATTATTCAGTTCCATACATTACAGAGTAAGAGTATTTAACTGCATTCGCACAGGGGTGAACTCGACACAACTTTAGGTTTAATGCGAGGGCCTGACCCATATGCATTGGTTGAGAAAAACTCAACCTTGAATTTTGTCACACCATGTGCACTGGAGAATAGATCTGGCCTAGTCCCTTTTCGTATAATGGGTAAGTTCAGCCTAGTGAACAGATCTGGAGCTAGTCATATAATTTGGGGGGGGGGGATAATAAGAAAATTTTGTGTTCAGTAAATAAGATGCATTGTAGGATTCGGTTCCAAACAGAAACTGTAAATATCAGAGGATAAAACTGAAGTTGTTTCATTTATTTTGCTAAAAAATGTTCTAAGTGAGACGCTTATTTTCAGAAATCTTACATCGAAAGATTTTCTTTCTTTCTGCTATTTTTTGTCATGGCTTCAGGAAGAATAAACAAAATAATAACAAAAATATGTTGCATTGCTTGAAAAATAAATTACGTTAATGTTGGCTGTAAATTGTATTATTTCCTGGATTCGCAGTTTCTTTGTTTTTGCCTTGGGAATAAATAAAGAAATGAAGAGAAAATTAAAAAGCCTAAACAAATAAGTAGAATTGTGCGTACAAACTTCACCTTCGACAAAAAAAGTAATTTTTTTTCTTTTCAAAATACTTGTCTGTTATCAATTATTTTTTACTTTCTTATTTGTAACTTTAAAATATATTTTCAGAAAATAGAACGATTTTGAATGTCAGTTACGAATGAAATTCTACATTTTAAAAATCCCTAACGTACTGATTCACCAAAGAATCACCTCTCCTCAATGACGGGGCCTTTGTGGTTCAAAATATTTTTTCTCGCTTTTATAGTTGCCAAAGAAGGTAATTTAAGATTAAAGCTAATATCTGTCGGGGTATAATTCAATATGTATATAATTTTTTTTTAAATACGCCAATGAAAAGTTAAAAACTTTAAATTACATCGAAGACATTAACTATGAAGAAATTAAATTTAATAAGAGAAACTTACCGAAAATACACTTTCAGAAGATTATCACGGTAGTGAGTTCGATCTGCAATACTCAAGGCTTTGAATCAGACGAAGTTAAGCTTTAGAAATGCTCTTAAGTCAGGAATAAAAGAGCAGGTTGGAAAATTAATTCCAAATTTGTTTTCAAAACAAAAAAAAAAAAAAAAAAAAGGAAGAGCAAGTTGAAATAGAAGGACAGGTTCGAATAAACAGACAGGCTGTGAAAGGGTGGAAAATAAAATAAACCAGGAGTCTGGAATAATTTGGGATAACTTGGAAAAAAATCCAAATTTAAAAATCTGGGCAGGCACCTATCTATCCATTGCAGACGCGAGAATACTATGGTTGCTTTTCGCCGTAAAGTATTCACTAAGCATACTATTCACACATATCATTACTGCTGTAGTGAGCTCGATCAAACATTGAAGGCATTATTCCACTTTAGGCTAAACTTAGGAAATATCCTGTTTACTACATCTTAAAGCAGTGGTCAGTGAGTTAGTCACTCAATTCATTACTAATGTCGTGAGTTCGATCCACTGCGTGTTTCCCATATGTGATATTGTGTCAGTAAAAAAAAAGGACGCTTATACTTAGAATCAGAAAGAGAGAGTTGAAATGTCTAGGATACTTAATGAGGAGAGAGGTCTTTGAGAATTTGACACTCACATGACATACTGAAGTCAAGAGGATCAGAGAAAAACACGAGTATACACGCCTAACTAGAGTGTAAACGAGCAGAACAGGTAGTCGGCGAGAAGACAAAACTTACTAAGAGCTACAAAGTGTATGAAGTTGTGGAGAGCCATGATCTCTTCTTTGTGTTGTTTTATGAAGGGACACAACACAAAGAAGAAGAAGAAGAAGAATAAGAAGAAGAATCATCTGTGCAGTAAGAGTTAGCAAACTAGTATATGTTTAAATGTCTGAGATGATGCGGTATCATTATTTACATTATATGCAGTTGGTCTAACTTCTATTGTTACTATCACAACGTTTCGGTTGTTGTTCCCTTCAGCCTTCTTCGGTCAACAATAGCCTAGAGGATTAAAGCATTATTTTGTGAATTTGTTGGCATAGTAATGGTGAGTTCCATCCCTGAGCCGGGTAATACGGATATACTCAAACTCAGTGGAAGCAGGACTAGCAAAAATTAAACAATTAACAAAGATGAGATATTCTTAGGCGTGGACAATGGAATGAGAACGATATATCCCGTAAATTAAATAAAGGGTTCTGTTTAAAATTCCCTGAAGATAGTCCAGATTGACAGACACATGAAGAATGACGGAGGGCACAACGGTCAAAACCTTGTGAAAGTAAACACGAATATGAAGGCATCTGTTCGACTATAAATAATGTAATGAGCAAACTAGTCTCGTTCACGGTTACTATTCTTTGATTGGCACAAGGTGCCCCGCACTTTTAACCTGGTGTCACATTATGTTCCTCCTTCTCCTCATTAGAGCCTGTGGAGAATAATGCCACAGTCTCAGCTCTGGATGTATTGCTACTGTGGTTTCTGTTTATGGTGTGAAATTGCCAGCTCCACGCCAAACAGGGTTTGAATTCAGAGATGTCCTTCTCATACACTGGTTGCCAACCAAGGCTAGATAGCCTAGTCTGCCATGCTATTTAACCTATAACTTAAGTTGAAAGAAGAAATAAATTTCTACCTTCCCCAAGGGTATTTGTGCGAAAGTGAATGCAACGAACTCGGCCGGAGTTTGAACTCTTACTGAAACTCTTAGGTTACGTTCAGATCATGTGTAAATATTGTAGCTTACCACGGAGCAGTAATTAGCAAGCAAATCTTTTTTTAACCATTACCACTAGAGTGAGCTTTATCTTCTCTGGGTAACAAACACGTGTCTCTTTTTTTTCCGACTATGCTAATAAAATACACTGGAAAAGAACTTATACGATGTTCCCATGAAGTTAAATGTATTAAAAAGAGATGTTTGTGACATTTTTAGCTTTTTTTCGTTTGCATGCATTTTTTTAATGCTTGTTTCGTTAGCAACAAGCACGAGTTAATAAATTTCTTTAAAAGTAGAAGATCATCATTTCGGGAAATAGTAAAAAAAACTTCATTATCTTTCCGCGGTTTTTTCTTTTCGTTCTGAAATATTTTAAATTCTTGTAACTTCAAAATTGGTTTACTTTGAACTAAAGCGACTTAAGTCTTTATATCAGCTTTTTTCAGAGTGAGATTTTCCCCCCTTTTAACAAAAATAATTGACTTTTCATTTGTTTGTTTATCTTATATTGAGAGAGGAAAAATCTCATTTCTTAATAGCGAGATTTATACTCATTTGCAATTTAAATAAAAGTCCACTGACTATTTATATATTATTACTGTTAATGCCAAACAAAATATACTTTTCATTTCGTAGGTTTTATTACATTCTTTCTTTCTTTCTTTCTATCTTTCTATCTATCTATCTATCTATCTATCTATCTATCTGTCATTTCCTTGAGTGAATATACTTTTTAGATTAACCATCATTGGTTGTAGCCTGGACCACTAAAAGAAAGTTTTGTTTAAGAACTTACAATTATTGGCATTTATTTTGAAACTTAAAGGGAATTTATAATTTTACTACCTACAATACTAACCTAAAACATTACTTCACCTCCCGGGCTTGCTGCTGTCTTTTATGTAGTGCTGTTTGATTATTACCATGATGGAACCAAACAAAGACTAGTCATAAGGTTCATCTAATGTAGCTCTAGATTCACCACACAAATTACTGAAAAATCAGTTTCATGTATATCCTCACATAAATTATTTCAATATTATTTTTTTTAATTAAATGTAGTAGTTTCGTAGATTGTCTTTAGTGCAGGTTCTTAATATTTTGAATCTCTTCTCTCTGTTTGCATTCACAACACCAGCTTCAAATATTTTTTTGTTCTTAAATCCACTTTTATTGCTTATAATAATTTTATGTCCTTTGCGGCATTTTAAGATCTCATACCAATAAATAAGTTAAGATAAATATCAATATTTCCAATAAAAGCAGAATTATAAAGTAAATTAAGGGTGGTATATTAATCATATAACTCGAAGTATACCCTGAAAACTTTATTAACAGCATTTGGTTAATACCAATTTCACTAGGGAAATATTTATTTGCATAATAAAATATGACAATTTGTATACAAGGATGCTTCGATTAGTGAGGCCAATTTGTACATCGGTAACTATAAAAAATAAATTTTCAATTACTATGGTTAAACTAAAGAATGTTTTACCACACTAATCGAGTATTGTGTATATACTAATCGAATTTTGGTATATAAATTTTTTAGCGCACTAATCGAAAGAAAATGCATTAACCGAATGCACAATAATCGAGTTCCCTTCGTCCCAGATACTGGTTAGATTTTTGGAAATTAAGTCGAGCTGAGAACTTTTCAGTACATCTCTTTCGCTATCTATCTATCTATCTCTCTCTCTCTCTCTCTCTCTCTCTCTCTATATATATATATATATATATATATATATATATATATATATATATATATAAAAAACACGCACTCACAAAACCCACACACATGTGGGAGAAATTTTAAAATCATTTCACACCAAGCAAAGCGATAATGCCACAAATACGCAAGGGGTTACTGGGATTGAAAGAGAATGAGAAGACTTTAGCAGACGAAATCGGAAACCCAACCGTAAACAGGAAGCAATAAACCTCTAATTCTGTTTAAAAGACTGGTAAGGAGTGTGAACCGGGTGATAAGTCAACCTATCTTCTTCTATTGAAAAAATAAATAAACAAGAGATAAAAAAAATAAATTGGTAAGTAACATTTCGGAATATAAAGGTTAAACACTATATAACAGAGAGACGGTGGGTAGTTGAATGACAAAAAGTAAAAACCTATGTATAGTATATATATCTATATATCTATGTATATATATATATATATATATATATATATATATATATATATATATATATATATAAAAGTAATTACTCGATTATTCAACAAATCAAAGTACGTAAGTTTTCTTTTTTTACTCTTTTACTATGGTTCAGAAAACTTTTTTCTGTTTAAATAAGTCAAGTTTTCCTAATTTAATACATAGCTTAATTCTTCAACTGTTTTTCCTCCATGATAAACTTGCTTCCCGTTTTTATGCTTCCCTCGTTCCATTAACACTTATAATTTAAACGAAACCAAGTTAATTCAATGATACCAGCTAACGAAAAAATGTTTTTTTTTAAATTTTAATTCTCTTTTCATTAAGGGCAAACTAAAAAAGAAAATTCATTTTTGTTAGCTACGCCACCCTATGTTGGTTAAATGATACAGCTTCAGGTTAAAATACGTCTTGATTTTTTTGTTTTTTTTAAATCTAATTTAAAATATTCATTCCTCTTTTCACTTTTCTTTCTTCTTTTTGTCAGTTGGTGTTGTTCCTCTTTTAAAAAGTAAAATCTAGCAAAACATGTTATTCTCTTATCTATTGATATTTTAAAATCATAGTCTCGTCTGGCACAACGGCATATGTATTGAGTAGATACCCCCACTTTTTAGCTGAAAACATCATAGCGTAATGGAAAAGGCTACAAACTTAATAAAAATAAAGTTTTGTCGTCAAAATGTTTATTATTATTAAGATGAAAGACCAAAGTATTTTTTAATTATTTTTTGAAATTTTTTAATCCTTTCTAACACGTTCGAAATTTTGGTCAAAATCTTGTTTTGTTTACGTCATCAGGGTGGCATAATAATTACATTGGCTTTTTTGCGCTTTTTTCCGTTGAAAACACATTGATTTGGAAATTATTGTAAAAAACCAAATATTTGTCCGATTTTAATGAAGTTTTTAAGACGTATTCACAAATGAATGAAATTATGTTTGAAATTTTTTAGAAAATTTTAATAAAAAATATTTTTTTTATATATATGTTATCCCCCACTTACTTAATTTCATCAAATTTCGCAAAAATCTTTCTATTTCTTGATTTTTTTTATTCGTTAAAAGTAGGACTCCTTGGAGAATCTAAATCAATTAATTTATTTTTCAAACTTGCACTATTCTAACTGAAAATCTGCTCTGAATAGAAAAATAATTAATGTAATAAAACTATAATATTATTTAATTAGAAAAGCTTTTAATTACTTTTGTAAATAAGTTATATTAAATTAAGGGCATTATTGTCTGAAGAAATAAAGTTTTTTCGATGAATAATGAATTTTTACAAGAATTTTTTCATTTTTTAAAAAAAATTAATTATAATAATTTATAATAGTTTATAATAGTCTAATAGTTTTGTCTCTTTACAGAGAAATTAATTTAAGAAAGTTTTTTGGTATTTTAATTTATTTTTATTTTTGCGTAAAGCATCTTCCAAACTATCTCGTGTCTTATTACGATAGTATCTGCTAAACAGCAAGGCAGTTCTCGTTTTTAAACTTATTGAGACAAATCCTAATTTTTAAATTTAAATGTTTCTTTGACACATGACAAAACTTAATTCATTCGTTTCACAGAAATGCCTACTTCTCAACAAATTTGACTTGGTAATTTTGTTCTCTTTAATTTCTAAATTATTCATCGAATAAACAACAACTTAAATAGACAGGTATAAGGAGATTGAGATAGATAGATAGATGAAAATTATTTTAGAAAATTTTGCTGTTACATATATATATATATATATATATATATATATATATATATATATATATATATATATATATATATATATAAACATTGGTTAACAACAATTTTCCCAAATATATTATCGATAACCAAATAAGATTATAGCTACAGAAATTAAACGGAACCAATTCTAATACACAGCACAACAAAACATTAATATCTTTTACCAAAATTAGATGCACAAACATTATAAACTAGAAGAATTCGCCATGAGACATATCATAAAACAATACATTACACTCGTCGACCCGAGCAAACGTGTAAAACTTACAATATACTATCAAAAATTAAAAACTGCCAACCAGATAGTTACCAATAACAACACACCTATCAAATTTAAACTTCAGACCACCAATGTAGTTTATCAATTTCGCTGTCCCGTATAAAACTATGACTCTTCTAATAATCAAAGCTACATCGGTTACACGACGGCGTCATTAAGTCGTAGACTGACAAACCATTAAAACGATCTCAGTTCGATAAGGAAGCACTTAAACACTAATACACAAATACTTGCTCCCATTAGAAAAATCCTTGTAAATATTTTTCTCATTCTCCTCATTATGTTCCCATCTCCGAAGAATCTGCAACACTTCCGGTATCTTTACAGCCGTTTCCTATGTGTTAGTAATTATACGCATAACTATAATATTCATATTCTACAGTTTTTGTAGTTTTGATAAAAATCTTGCTTTTTTATTGCCTTCTTCTCTTTCACTTTCTCTTAGTGATTCAGCAAGATAAACGTAACCTTTGACATAATTTCTTTTCTTTAATAACTACTATTATTATAGACGTTGGGTTAGAATGATATTGTGTATTTTGGCCACGCAACTTCTGAATTGGAATGCGTTATATGACTTAGTTTAGCTATCTCCTTCACACATGGCTGGGCTTGGGTTCATTGATATTTTACCTACACTTCCCCTTGGTTAGATTAGGTCATATGACCTATATGACTTATTTTAGGCAGTCCTCTTCTGGTTTAGGTTGCGTCATACGGTGTATTTTAATCTATATCTTGATGGGTCATATAACTTATTTTAACCACTCCTCCTCTGACTTGGGTTGGGATATATGACATTTTAGTCACTTCTCACCTGACTTGGGTTGGGACATCCGGTTTATTTTAGCCACTCCACTGGTTTCTATGGGGGATCTGTTTTAAAGTTAAAATCTGAAAATATTTTAATTTTTTAATTTTCAGAAAATATATCTTGCTTTTGATCTTACGCCGCCACTTGAACAATTCCCAGTGCATTACTCTTTCTGTCTCATCATGAATTTTAAGTCTTCCCTTGCCACATAATTGTCCTATGGCCATTCTTTCGTTGGACGTCTTGGCTGTCATCTTTACAAATGTACTCATCAGAGTGTAACAAACTTTAAAGATGAGATAAATGTTATCTGTAAAAAGAAGATCGAATTTCCGATAATTTCACTCACTCTGATTTTCTATGTGTTTGGAGCGTGGCATTTCACATTGCAAATCTCTTGAAAGCCAGTGCCAAGATTTTTTATCGTTAATTTATTCTTATCAAAGGCAAAAAACAAAAATGGATTCTTCATCCAATAAAACCACTTGATCTGCAGTCATTTTTTGATTCGCTTGAAGAACTTCGAACAAAAGTCTGTACTTTTGATTTGCCAAGTAGACCAAGTCAGTTACAAGGATTTCTCGATTATATTATTATTATTATTATTATTATTAGTAGTAGTAGTAGTAGTAGTAGTAATAATATAAGAGTCGACTCTTGTCACTTAGTCAAACGGTGCGGACAAGAATTTTCTTCACGTTGGCTCTGAGGCTTTCAAGGACGTTATAGCAACAAACAATGGTCTCTTGGCGACAAATCTTATCTTTCCCTGCGGCTTGGTCAGTGTGAGAGTAAAATTTTCGTAACAATTTTATGTATCGATAAGCCTTTGAGGGCGTCTAAGCGTTTCTAAAAAATGGTTTTATACGTTTTTGTTCATGACGTTGGAACAGTCAGTTGGCGGAAATCTGGAGATCGAAACTTTCTTCAACATCACCTGAATCTGATAGTTTCAGATGCAGTTTTGAAAATAGTTTGTTTCTGAATATATCCATCACTTATTTTTCATATCTATCTATCTATCTATCTATCTATCTATCTATCTATCTATCTATCTATCTATCTATCTATCTAATATTTTATTTACATTCGTCTATCCGATTTAATGGTTACTTAAGTCGAAATACGATGATAGATTGATATTGCAATAAAAAGCAACAATAATAAAATCGATGGTAATAATAAAAATAATAGTAATTATAATAATGATGATACTACTATTGTTACTACTACTTCTACTACTACTACTACTACTACTACTAATAATAATAATAATCATAAGAAGAAGAAGAAAAATAAATATAGTCAATCACAGTGAGGATAGAGACATAATAGTTAACTGCAAGCGCTTCCTCTTTAAATCATTTTCGACGAAAAAACTCATATTGATTAGAGAATTGAAAATTTAAAGGTCTTCAATTTGATCCTTGAATTTTAATCGTTTTCATCAGACCAGTGTCGGTTTCTTATTGTAGACTATGGCTTCCAGAAAATGAGACGTTATGTGATGTCAAATGACTTCCAGGGGAGGGTGGTAGTTACTTAAATACTTATAGTTCTGATTCTACGTTTCTTTAGAATTCACTGTTTATTGAAGGTAGCCAACGGAGATTGTCTTCCCTGGAATCTGTTTTTTTTCCGTTATTCTTAGTTACCAAAGGAAGTTGAGGCTGCAGCCAACAAAACTTGTGGATTATATAACAAGCACTTGACATTAAATACAGTAAAGATTTTTCAACCAGGCAGAATGTTAATCACTTTCTAACAACAAAACACAGACACGTACATGAAGGATTCTCGACGTACAATTATTGACGGAATAAGCGAAACCTCTTATTTCATTAATCTCAGTAAGTTCAAGTAATCATCTAATAGATGGAAATACACTCAGATTATTGAGAATAACCTGTGTCCTGCAAAAATTTTATACTATAGACACATTGACCAGAAATAATCATTATTTTCAATTTTACTTTCAATATGCAAGAGATTAAGATTCCAAATTACGAATATAATAAAATATGAAAACATAATAGTATGGTCGAGTTTGTAATGAAGATTCAATGTAAACTGACCCCTTCCCACGGAAACCAAAACAAAATATGCCAATAACACGTAATTTCTTAAAAAAGTAAATATTTAAAAAAAAAAATCGAAATTCGTAATGTGGATTTCGTTGTTATATGTATAGCTGGCCACTCGTATTCGAGGATAACCACCTACTAGGGCGGCTAGCCAGTCTATATTGCAGACGCTTGCTCAGTCGCATTTGTGTTTATTCAACATCCACATAGCGCTCCTGTGGTTTATACTGCAACTATGCTAATATGGGAACGTGGCCGAGTGGATTGAACGTTCACATTCTGACCATGAGATCGGGTTCGAATCTCGCCATGGTCAATTTGTCAGGAAGGAGACTTCCTAGTGTTATCAGGCTGGAGGAAAATCCAAGCCTTGTGAGTGAAATTGGGTAGACGGAACCTCTGGGTGATGTCGATAGCTGTGTTAGCACGGAGTCACAAGTCATCGTGGCCGAGGGCTTAAGCGTGCTGGCCTTGTTCAAACTGTTGATAGCGCTAAATAACACTGTAACTAAGGTCTGCTCATGACAATAGTTAATGTGGGATTTAGTTTGCTATGCAAATTCCTTGTAAATTTATCCTCCCTACGGAAACTAAAACAAATATGCTCAGACGACGTTAGTTCTTAAAATTATAAAAAATTATTCGTAATCTAGAGAGTCAACTGAAATTTCTAGGGCACATAATGAAGAAAGAGGACTTGGAGAATTTGACATCCACAGGGACATATTGAAGGCAAGAGGGACAAGAAAAAGTAACCTAATTAACGAGCTTAGGTAGGGTGAGAAGATGACAAATATTACTAAGGCTTACAAAAAAAAAAACCAGGACATTGTGGCGAACCATGATCGCCCACATCCTGAAGGAATACGGCACATAGAATTAGTGTGTATATGTGAGTATGTATGTGTAATAGCTAGATACCTTACGATATAGAAATAAACTGAGAGGCATATAAGGATACAGATAGAGAGTGGGAGACGGAAACAGATAGACAGACAAGTATTAACAGACTAAAATGCATTGATCGTGGTTTGTGTTTGTGATTGAGACCTTTTCTACCTATGCCAATTGTCAGTGTCCTCAACCATATAAAACAAAACACGTAAATTCGAATGCTGATTTTCAAGGTGAGCAGACCCTCCCTACTTAGAAGATTCGTGCAATAAAGTATTTCTACCCTCATTTACCTTTTTATCCTCAACTCATATGAAGTTTAGTAGATAATAAATATATAGATCGATATGGATATTTAGTAAGGTTAATTATGTGTGACACAAGTTCACAAATCAAATGAGGATCGAACACATGTAATAGTAATTTTCTGTTATAGTAGCTCGCTAATCCTTACTCCATGGCGTAAATGTTTATTAAATGTAGTTTAAACTGGCTCAAGGCCAACATTTATAGGGCACTTGTATAAATCGAATATTACACTAGCTAATAATTTGCAAGATCAACTTGTTGACCATTGTTCTGCGTTTAGTTATTTACAAAACTTTGGTTACTCTGTCATGAAACAAGTGTGGGGACCCGATGAGGATTAAACTCACAGCAATAATAAGGGTCTGCGAAACAAGTTTTCCAACCACTATTGCATGATGGAGTACCAAAGTAGATAGATATGATCAGATTGCGATCGATAATCAGGAAAAAATGGCGGTGAATAGTTATGACAGGATATGATGAGAGATCAGGAAACGCTGATAAATAACTAAGCGCTCCAATTCTAATCAAACTCAGGGTTGGTCAGCTTTACTGAAGAAAGTATGAACCATTGTATCAAACGAGCAATGGCCTTTGACTTTATAAAGGCATGCCTTATGACAAATCACTCTAATTATACGTTCGGGTTTCTTTTAGTGATTCTAATATTCCCCTCGTTTTCTGATGAGATGACAAAATTCAAATTAATTTTTTCTCCCTTTGGTCAAAGTAAAAATATCGGTATTTGGAGACGGGTTGTGAAAGATTTATCGTACTAATTAGCGTAAGATAATCATAAGTGTAAGAGCTAAAGTTCATTGAACGAGATGTTCGTGTTAAGAAAAAAATAAAACGACTAAATGATCTTGAACTTCAGCCAAAGGGAATGAAGTGATTAATTATTATTAATCATAACTACTGAAAATTGCTCTTAAAACAATATAATTTATACACGGATATATTTTAAACATATTCTAAATATGTAAGCTCAAAGGGAGATTAACAGAAATAAAAAAAAATAGCGACTATGATTCTCTTAAAATGCCCTGTCCCTCTTTTCTTTATTATCTATGACTAGTCATGCTTCATTGAGAAAGTTAGTGGAATGGTTTCCCGCTGCTTTCTCCATGGTTAAGAATTCAGTGTTTTCCTTCTTATAGATTGGTTGCTACCCTATCCTAAAAATCGTAGTTTAATTTGCAATATAACATATAGCTGATGGATTCATAGAGATAGATTTGTGTCTTTCCTAATGCCATTAGTACAGCAGTGAACAAAAATAAACTAGTTCGGAATTTGAACTCATCTCGTCGATTCCATTACCACACACCCAATAACGGCCATACTACTTCTAACAATGATAACTGGATCCTTTTAAGGCTGACAAAATGTGTAATAGCCATTTTATTGCTAGTACCTAAGCAGATAAAGTAGCTATGAATTGTAGTTTTCTTAAGTCTGTATTCAGACACATTTTTGTCATGCATCGTGGTATACAAATGACGAGATCTTTATTTCAGAATAACAATGTAAAAGTGCAGAGAGAGTGTATTAGTAACAAGGACGCACAGCCACAAAGTTTGAACACAACTCGCCAGTGTTTTCCATGATGATAGCCACTGCGCAGATTCGAATAATTGGGTAGGAATAGTGAATCAGTCGTAATTGTGCAAGTTCGACCAAAACAAATAAGTTGCAGATCTTACTGACAAATATTTGCGATATTATCTTATTACTCATCGCACCATAACGTTATTTACCTAACTTTGCCGCCAATGCACCATGCGACAAGGTCCTTTTAATGTGTGTGTGTGTGTGTGCGTGCGTGTGTGTGTGCGTGCGTGTGTGTGTGTGCAGAGAAGATATGTATACGTATACATGTGGGCCATGAGTAAAAATTGCTGAGTCTCCGTGATCACTGTCAACACTGTTGTTGATATTACACCAACCCACACCTTGCTTATTGCAACGATAAGTTGATGCCACAGGGTTGAATTCTCCAGGATCGGGCGACTTCTCCCATTTAACTGTCAAGCTAACTGTTTCTCTGTAAAAGATGCCTAAAAGACTTTGAATAAAAAGAATGCAGCTTCTATTAAAGACGGATTTCTTGCTTTCTATTCAAAACTTTTTTTAAGCAGGTTTAGTATTGAGCTGAATTGGATGTTTTTTAAAGGTTGGTTAAGAAAACGTATCATACAATCGAACAGACTGCTAAATCAAAAGAATTTATTAAAGAAATAAGTCACTAGAACAAAACAAATATTTAAAATTCGAACAAGTGGCGTAATCAAATCAACTGTTTTTATATTAAGCCGAACATTCTTTAAGCAAACGAATCTATAACACATTTGGCAAGAGTATTTCGCTTGCGACAACTCATATGAGAAAAATCCATACAATCATAATCTATACAAACTATGATGTATGCAACAATTACAACCTTATTTTTTAAAAATTTAGTTTAATATTTTAAAAGCTTCATGAAACTTTTTGATGGACGGGATATCAAGATGAAAGATATTTTTTGTTGTGGCTGAGAATTCGCGCTTTATTCAAAATGTTGGTTTGATAGAGAGTGTGATATCGAACAAGGGTTTTTTTTCCTTGTTAAACAAGAAACCTATATCGTTTCACCATCTCCAACGGCACGGAAAGACGAGGATATTTTAACCCCCTCCCTTCCTCTGATTGAATGACTTACGACAAACTGATTGCATTTCCTGGTCAAACTCACAAAATCATGACGTCAACTTAAGTCACGTGACAAGATCTTTTTCATTGACTTCATTCAACCAGGTGTGTTACGATCGTCATCGTAACAGTTTTTTGGCCAAGCCAAGTTGATGAGCA